AAATTACATGATTGGTTGACATTTACATTTAAAGCAAGCTAAACTGGGCAAATAATGATTGGTTGACCTTTACAGAAAAATGTCCTTGATCCATAGCTTGACCGAAAAAGGTTAAGAGTCACACCCGGACCAACAGAATGCATGGCATGCCTCGCCCCGGGCTCTGAAGAACAGGTTGGTTAGAAACTCTTAGTCCTATGTGGGTGGGGAGCAACACCACTTGGGGGCTAACACCTGCCTTAAGCAAATGCCATCTATGGCTTCTAGAATTGTGCATGGCTTTCTGTCATAAATTCCTAGCATTGGGGCTAAAGTGGATCACAACTCAAGTCGCAGAACTGAGATGGAGTGTTAAACAAAAATGGAGTTGCTTAGGTTTCTTAAAACATTATATTTCTTCCCTAGGGCCTTACTGCCTGGGCCTTTGGGAGGGGCATTGCAGCTGAGGGGATAATTCTGAGGACTTTGCCCCCTTGGTCAGGGCTGTAAAACCTTTGAAGTCTTTTACTAAGTAACTCTAGGCTCCCAGGCTGACATTCCACTACTGAGTAACTAAAACCAGTCACAGTTAAAATCATACAAAAACCATACAATCATCTAGCACAAAGCAATTCATACAGAAGCAAAAATGGCTGTTAGGTGCTGTCATATATATATATATATATATATATATATTATATATTATATATATATATATATATGATTTTTTTACGTTCTTCATCTATCACTTTTTCTCCATGTGTATTGGATTTTATATTAAAAATCTTCTGTTAATTACACGCTTACCCAAATCTACTAACCTATAGTTACAATGGAAAGCATTGTCCACTTGGATTCCACATAACCTGGCTTTTTAAATTCATTATTCCAAATAAAATGAAAGACTTAAAATCAGACTTAACCTGTGAATGTCATACCTGCAGTCATAGCAAATCTCAACAACTTCCCAGAAAACTGCCCCCTTCATAGTTATGATCAAAGTTTTTCTGAGAGCTTAGACTCATTTCAATCATTAACTAGCCTACATAGATGCAACCAGCTCAATGACACTTGTTTAATCCAAACAACATCAATTCACAATGTCTTTAATTCATGACTACTTACTTTCAGTTTAAAGTCAGTAGCATTTTACATGTTGATGATTTGCTCATAGCCATTTCATTGTACAGAGTGCCAAAAATAATGTTTTCTTTAATTAACCTGTCAAATAATAGAACCTCACAGGCAAACAAATTTAAATATATATGTACATATTGTTTATTGTAGAATTCCAAAAATTCAGCCCTATCCATAAATTAAATTTTGTGTTTGTTTAGACTTAGTGTCTACGTATTCCTTAGGGAGGGGAAATTTACTTAATAATTTTAAAATGAAAAAGATTCTCCCATTTGTTAATGCTATGTTTTTGTTTGCCTTCCCTGATTTTACATTTAATAACAGGCTTAAATTTAGTTATTACTAAATTAGTAATATTAGTGAGAGAAGAGATGGGTTAGGAGCGATGGGTCACAATGTTGTTAGACATTCATATACTGATTTCTAGAATGGGAACTTCTTTGTACAACTACTTAAATATAATAATAATAAATTAAAAATATTAGTCATTCCCCTTTTCTTCATGAAACATGAAACCATTCTGCTTTTTACCTTGGTTCCTTCTAGTACTTGAACTCTGGTAAAATCTCTCTTTAGTTTCTGTCCACTGGTAATTCAAAATAGGTATAGACACCTGAGATTCCATCACCATCCTTCTCAGTTTTGTGTAGTCTATAGGTTTTGGAAACAGATATATTGCTACTCTGAATGGTTGACTATTAGGTATGTAAAAGTCTTCTTTTTTGAAAATAGCATTTATCTGATTGAAAGACTATAGGTAAAGGCAATTAGTATGAACTGACATTAGTTTGGTAGTTGGTTTATACTGGCCAACTCAAGCTCCAGGTTAAAGATAAGCAGGTTTAATTCAAAGGGGATATTTGGCTGTTAGAGGAATTTACAAGTAAAATAGTAATAGAATGGTAAAGATGACAAAGGCTAAGTACAGTATTTCATATGCATATTTCATTTGTTTCTGACTCTTCAGGCTCACCCTGTGACCCCACCTTCATTCTGGCCTGTGCTCCCTGCAATGTTATCTGCTCCATTGTTTTCCAGAATCGTTTTGATTATAAAGACCAGAACTTCCTGAACTTAATGAAGAAATTGAATGAGAATGTCAAGATTGGGAGCTCACCATGGATGCAGGTGAAGCCAAGATCTTTTCTTCCTAAGAAAACACTTATCTTTTTTTTATTTTTCAACAGACCCAAATTAAATAAAGAGCCACTAGTAAGGTGAACACTTGGACCCAACAGTGCTACCTAAAGAATGGTACAGTGCCATTCAGGAAGTTCCTACCTATGGCCACACATTCTAGCATTTTCACTATTCTATTTTTGTAGTAGCTTCAAAGTTTCTGGTTTTATATTAAGATCCTTGATTAACTTTCAATTGATATTACTTCAGGTTAATCGATAAGGTCTAGTTCATTTTCTGCAGTTCCAGAGTGAAGCCTGTTGAAATTGGTTTGGGAAGCAGGGAAGGAAATGATGAGGGAGAGTAGCAGAGGAGTCTAGATTTATTGTCTCATCTAGATATATTGAAAAACTGGGCCTTGTTGGCTCATATCTAAAATGTTAGTTACTCAGGAGACTGAGACCTGGAAGATCAGGGATTTGAGCCAGCCAGGGCAGAGAAGTCTGACAGAATCCATCTCCCAAATAAAAAGTGAGCAAACACAAGTCATGACCAAGAAAGTGAAGCAAGAATCTGGGGCTCTGAGTTCAAACCCTGGTACTGACACCAAAAGGAAAAATGCATTTTATTATATATGGACATGTCAAAATGAGAACCTTTGACAGCTAACTGATAATAATAGAAATGGAAGAAAAACAATGTAATCAGCTGAGAAAGATGTCTAAACCTTTAAGATTTACTCAAGCTAATGAACTCAAGCAATTAATTTGATATTTCCCATTAAATCCCAAAGGGATTTTTCCTATAAATTCCTTTGTTCAGGTTCTGATAGATGCCTGGTGGATCAGGGGATATCCAGGTGCTTACTGAAAGCTTACATTTCCCACAGGTTTGTTTTCAGACATCTCATATTCAAGTTATTACTGAGCAGAAGTATTTTTCCTCAGAGAGGAAGCATATTTGCAACAATAGAAACTACTAGGAATCACTGAGTAGAGTCAGAATGTTTGCTGATTCCACTGTGATCCTAGATGAAGAGGTAGCCTGGGGAGAAATGACAAAATTAAACTATAAAAATCTTCACAATGGAAGTGGTGCTGTGGCTCAAGCGGTAGAGAGCTTGCATTGAGCTGAAGAGTGCAAGGACAGCACCCAAGGACAGAGTTCAAGCCCTACGACCTACCAAAAAATAAAATCTTCACAATGTTTTATAGAGTTTGGCATGTCTTAAACTCTGTAAAAGTTAATAACTATGTGATCACAGAGAGGTTACTCTATCATGAGACTAAATTTTAGAGCATCTTTGAACCCCTCTCATTTTATATGTTCCATCTAAATTTCCCTTCAAGATGGAAGCCATGTGTCATTTTTATTTACAGCCAAGTTTTCTATAATATGTATATAGTATGTATATGCATGTTTATTTAATGAGTTATTACTTTTGTATTTAGATCTACAACATTTTCCCTGGTCTCATTTATTGTCTACCAGGAAGTCACAAAACATTACTAAAAAATTTTGATGATATAAATAGTTACATTTTGAAAAAAATAAATGACCATGAAGAATCACTGGATGTTAACAATCCAAGAGACTTGATTGATTGTTTCCTGATTAAGAAGAAACAGGTAAGATATCAAAAATTACATTTATTTGAATCCTTGAGCATTCTGTGATATATTAAATAGTCTGTGTTACTTGAAATGTTTAAACCATCAGACCAGCAGTGCTTGAAAAAGAAAGTTATCAGTTGTATAAAGGAAGCTACACTAAGCATCCTGGGAAACTTAAAATTAATTTCTCAAATAATTAGAAAATATTTACTCTTTTTATATAAAATAATATAATAAGGAGAAGCAGAATGCACATGGCAGGTGAATAGAAACAATTTCCCTGCAAAATATGTGTCATTATGTAAAGATGGGTGTCATTATTATATAGAATAGAATATGTAAATATTATGCATGTTCTCTAAGTCAGAATTGGTTTTGAAGAGATAATTCTGGAATGATCCTTAATTGGTCATGGTAATCGTTCCTTATAAAGGATTTTTAATGGTGTTATTTAAAAAATACATAACACAATATCATTTTATTATGCTTTTCACATTTTTATTAACAAATTTATTGTGCAAAGGCTTCTATTGTGATATGTTACAGATGCATATAATGTAATGTAATCAATTTCACCTCTTCTGTTATGTTTACTAATTCATCTTCTTTACATAGATTTTAGAGGTTTTTCCTTATGTTTTATCACATAAACATATAATGAGTATGTTATATATGTAACAGATATGTAAAATATATATAGATAATGCATAGATAATATAGATATTATATACATATATGATATACTGCAATAAGCTAAGCAAATTTTTTTATTTTATTTTTTATTGTAAAGATACTATACAGAGGGTTATAGTTACATGAGTAAGGTAATGAGTACACTTCTTATTGTGCATTGTTACCCCCTCCATTTTTTCCCCCTACCATACCTTCCCTCCCTACCTTCCCCGAGGTTTTTTTTTTGATTGTGATTAAGTGATTACATAATTTCCAGAATTTCACAGTATTGTGGAATAATGATGCTCATTTAAAGTCACAAGTTCATTCTAACTTTCCTGGAGCAAATTGTCTATCACAGTCAATAACATATAGCACTGTACTCAAGTTATACACTATACATGTGATCAGCAGCATGGGGATATTTAGTTAAGCTAAGCAAATTTGAATCCTTATTATTTACCATGGGTTTACTATACCACACTTATGACAGTCTACTGTGAAATTAGAGTGAATTAGTGTCTGAGAACACTTTCAATCCTCCCCCTAAAATTGCATCTTTCTTTGGTTGTTTTTGTCACACTGTATATCTTTAATACATTGGGTATCCATAGAATTCATCTATGATTATTGCCTCCTATACTTCCCTTAAAATATATATATAAAATCTAAAAAGAGGTTGAATAAAAAATGTAGTATAATTAAATTCAGATTTTTGTATGGTTATATTTAACAAGGATATGTATTTCTTGACTTGGTGTGAACTTATTGTTGAATATGCTTTAGTTTGTACTTGAAAGCTGATTCCCCTTAGCACTCCTTATATGGTAGATCTATTCATGACAGACTCTCTGCTCTTTTATTTATCTTAGAAGAATTAATTTCTCCTGTATGATGATAGCATATGAGATAAAATTAGTGTTTTAGTCCATGACATGGAATCATTAGATTTTCATTCATTTAGATTTCCATTAATTTCTCAACACTTATACAGCCTAGAGTACAATAGTCTATGTGACCTGCAACTATTAAATCTCCAAATTTATTATGACAGTTGGAAGCTTTAATATTGGTGTTTAATATACTATTCTAGAGTAAGTTGACCTCATGATTTAATAGTAGCTGTAACTTGATGATCATAGAAAAGTACATAAAGTAGATATTACCAAAGTTTGTTTAACTTGACCAGCTTTCAAAGCATGTGATGTTGATATAGTCAAAGGAGATGACCCTTTTCCAAGAGAGTACGTTGAGAGGAGCCGTTTAATTAAATTGTTTTAATAACATATTACTAGACATACTGCAAGTCATCTGGAGATTACAAAAGCATGATGGATTTAATGTTAGCCCAGACACCAGTTAGAAAATGATGTATTTTGACCATTTAATGATTTTCTCATTCAATATCTAAAACTGCAGCCTTGTTGACAACTTGGTTTTGGGCCATGTTCTCAGTCCTTGGCACTGCTTCATCCATCCTCTCTGCAAGATAATGTGAACACGTTTTGTCTTCATGATTAGTGTCTCTTCAGCTCCTGCATTCCTAGTTATTCCTACTCAGGTTCCCTAGACCACCTGACTTGGTGCTTCCCATCTGCTGACTCATCGTGTTTTGATGAACCCATTCTCATTCCTTGTGACTCCTAAGTTTTGCTGCCTTTTAGCATTTTCACAAGCAATATGGAGCATATGCAAATGTGTGATACAAGAAGTTAAATTGCAATGAGGAGCCATGCTTGTAAAACTACTATCAAGGGGCTGAGATCTAATGATCAAAGTTTGAAGGCAGCCTGGACATAAAAGTCTTTGAGACTCTTATCTCCAAATTAAACAGAAAATAGTGGGAAGTGGAGCTGTGGTTCAAGTGGTACAGCACTAGCCTTGAGAAAAGAAGCTCAAGGACAATGCCCACACACTGTTCAATAACATCAACTGCAAAAAAATTTTAATTGCAGATTTTTGCTTCAGGCTTACAACACCTGTGTCCCTAACTTTCCTACTTGCAGTATTCAATTTTCTGATCCTTCAATACTTAGAGAAAATTCAGTTATTAGTAGCTTAAATGAATGATGAGTTTCATGACCTCAGATTCAGTCATAGCACGAGATCAGTTAGAGTCAGGCCAGGCCAGGAGGGCTGAAGCCTTACTTAGTGTAAACTAGTCACCATCCCACTGTCAATTGTGCATTGCTCTTATTCCTTTACTCTCCAACTTCATACCACTGTGAGATATTGTGAATTCACTGCCATCACATGTGCTGGTAAATAATATAATTGCATCAAATCTTAGGAGCAGGAAAATCACAAGGAGCCATCAGAATTTACTAATGAAAATTTGACAATGGTTGCATCTGATTTATTTGGTGCTGGGACAGAAACGACGAGCACAACACTGAGATACTCCCTGCTGCTCCTGCTGAAGCAACCTCACGTCACAGGTAGGAGCACAGGGGGAGACCTAGGTAAATCTTCAGAAAATATAGGAAAGATGCTGGTAGTGATTTCCCTTGTGAGGTATGTCTCACAGCTCACCATCCTGTGCCACCAGCTGAAATCAAAGACAAGTGATGAGAACACAGCAGTAGGAAAAGCAGCAAGACTCTGTCTTGTGTCTGGATTTTTTGGCAGGTAATCATTTGAAAACTGCTCTAGCATAAATTGACATAAAATAACATATTGATTTTACATCCAAAACTTCAGCTTTTACAATGGGTTCTTCTATATATTTTTCCTCATTCTGACTATTCTAATGCTGCCATAGGCCAAAGAGCTCTATTGTCACCAATGCGCAAGTACAAGCCCTAGAAATTAATGAGGATATATGAGATAAATTCCATTCCTGAATATTTTCTCATTAGAAATGTGCAGATGCCATACCAGAAGGTATTTTACAATTTCAGAAGTCTAAGTCCATAAAACTTATGTTTGGTAAAGTTAGAATTTTACAAGGGCATCTGTAATTTTTATCTTTTACAATGTTGTTATGTATTTATAGAGTTTTAGGTGTGGAAACACTATGTAAAGTTTTAAGAGATATTATAAAATAATTTAAATGAGAATTAGACCTCTCACCACAAAAAGGAGAAGAGAATACTAACTGGATAAGATGTCTACCAAAATTCTGATACTCAGAGTAGATGTAACTGTGATAAAATACCTGGGCCAGACACATGTTGCTTTCACCTAAATGTGGTAACAGGAATAGTTCTGAGGGAAGAAAAAAGAAGCTATGTCTGCAAATTTCCCAAAGTTTCTCCCTTTTTATTTTGCCAGTCCTGAGCTTGAACTCAGGGGCTGGGTACTGTCCCTGAGCTTCTTTTGCTCAAGCCTGTCACTCTACACTTGAGCCACAACCCTACTTCTGCCTTCTTCTGTGTATGTGGTACTGAGGAATAAAACCCAGGGCTTCATGCATGGTAGGCAAGCACTCTACCACTAGGCCACATCCGCAACCTCATTAAGTTTCCTATTTAGAAGTAACAATATCAAAGAAAATAGAAAAGAATTTAGCAAACAGACTCTCCATGTTCAAATTCTTATCATACCTCCACTCCTCAGGTGAAAAGAAAAACTCTCTCCACACCAAGAAGATATTCTCTCTCTCTCTCTCCCTCTTTCTCTCTCTCTGTACAGAGAACTCTGTACTCAGACATTTTCGGTAAAGACAGTGAAATATAAAGTTGAGAGGCCTTGCCAATCCCACTTGTTTCTGATGCATAACTTTTTATGTATATATCTTTTATTATAAAGGCACTGTACAGAGAGGTTACAGTTACATGAAAAAGGTAATGAGTAAATTTCCTATGGAACATTGTTACCTCCTCCTTTGTTTTCCCCCTACCATTCCTTTCCTCCCCACCTCAACTTCCTCCCTCTCCCACCCACAAAGTTGTAAAGTTGGTTTTCAACATAGTGTATTGTACATTTCATTGGCACAATGGGTCAACCTGTATCCTATTTCAGCATTTTGTTATTTCCCTTCCCCTCCCCAAATAAGAAAAATGTTTATACAAGATGCAGGGCACTGGAATCAAATACACTGAAGACAGTGGTTATACCATAGGGGAAGAACATACAAAAGAAACAAAAATATTACATAGTACATTATAAATACATTGAAAACAACAGCAAAAAAGGTAAAACTTCTTGTGTCTCTATCTTTGAGGTCATTTCATTTAGCATCACGTTTTATGTTCATATGTACATAGCTTTTGACCTTTTGTGCTAGTCATAGGCATATACTAGTTTTATATATATATATATATATATATATATATATATATATATTATATACCAAATTTTCTTGATCCATTCATTTACGGAGGGTCATCTGGGTTGGTTCCATGTCTTTGCTATGGTGAATAATGCTGCGATAAACATAGTTGTGCTGGTAGATATAGTATAGACTTGTTTGTGATTGTTTGGGTAAATCCAAAAGAGGGATTGCCGGGTCATAGTGGAGCTCTATGTGTAATCGTTTGAGGAACCTCCATACTGCTTTCCAAAGTGGTTGAACAAGTTTACACTCACACCAACAATGCAGTAGGGTTACTTTTTTTTTTTATCACATTCCCTGCAGGTAATGCGCAACTGTCTTTTTTCCTGAAATTTTTCCATAATGAAGAACTCTAAGAACCTCCATATTTTACCAATTTGATAGAAAATTCTCTCGAAGTGTCCAGCAGAATACAGGGATAAAAGCTTTCACTCCGCATAAAGTTGTAGCATTCCAGAATACCAGGTTTAGAAAGAAGATCATCCCAAGTTTCAGAAAGACACAACTAGGTCAGATATCAAGAGATGATGGGATTGCATCATAATTCTTAAGAGTGGGCTGGGAAGGTGGCTCTGTGGTAGAGCACTTGTCTTGCATGCATGAGGCCCTGAGTTCGATTCCTCAGCACCACATAAGCAGAAAAAAAAGCCCGAAATGGCAATGTAGTTCAAGTGGTAGAGCACTAGCCTTGAGCTGAAGAGCTGAGGGATGGTGCCCTGGCCCAGAGTTCAGGCCTCTCTACAGGACCCTCCCTCAAAAAATTATTGAGACTAAAAAGAAAAGATGGGAGGGTAGACTTCCATATCAGCCATAAACTTCATACCCCATTTTCTCTTTTTTCACACATTATGGCATAATATGGTGTAATGCATTATGTTCAGTTATCTCAAACCAAGTTAAGGAAATCATGGATTCCAAAAACCAGGACAGGAATGTTATGGTATAATCTGAAACTAACTGAGGCTGCTACAAACTCTGATAACACCCACATCAGAACAAACCAGAAACCAATGATGCAAGGAGGGAAGGAAGACACTGAGAATGAAGGAAACATGGACAAGAGTCTCAGAATTCTCACTTACTGATCATGTATTGCTAGGTGTTTTACACAAGTATTTCTGCATTTTCAAATAATTCTAGGTCAGGAACCAGAAAATCATGAACTGACTGATAAGAAAGAAATGGGAAGTACAAGAAATGGAATGCAATTCCAATTTCCACCCAGGGAACAATATTGCTGAGCCAGAATGATTGAAACTGTGAATACTGGTTCAAAAACTGGTTCAAAAACCACACTAAAGCTACCAGCACGACTATGTTTATTGCACCATTATTTACTATAGCTAAGATATGGAACTAACCCAGATGCCCCTCAGTAGATGAATGGCTCAATAAAATGTGGTATATATACACAATGGAATTCTATGCCTCCATCAGAAAGAATGATATTGCCCCATTTGTTAGGAAATGGAAAGACTTGGAAAAATTATATTAAGTGAAGTAAGCCAGGCCCAAAGAAACATAAGTCCCATGGTTTCTCTTATTTGCAATACTAGTATATGTGTGAGTCAAGCAGAAAAGGTCAGATAAGGTGAAGTTAGGAAATGAACCCTAAGATATGTATTCAAATTTTTTTCTTTCATGCAATTGTTTCTAACACATTTATAAGATTATTTCTTTGTTGCTTTGTATGACCCTCCCCACAGTATAACCTCACTTTTCAGTGTAATTGGTGTTGGTATAATTTGTGGAGGGGAAGGAGAAAAACAAATCGTTTAAATAGGGATACAGGTGGGCCCATTGCAACAATGAGATGTATAAGGCCTTACATCGAAAATGAACTTTACAACTTTGGTGGGGGGAGAGGTGGCGGGGCGGATTGGGGGATGGCCGCTTGAGGATGGGAAGAGATGGGAAGGCAAACAAAGGAGGAGGATACAGTGCTTGATAAGAAATGTACTCATTATCTTGCCCATGTAATTGTAACCCCTCTGTACAGTATTTTCAAATAAAAAAATCTGATGTTTTATCTAGTATATTATTGTGAATGAAGAAAATGGAAACATACATGCTTATCTCTATGTGCCTATTTGTAGATGTGGGTAAATATATAAGACAGAGTTGTGAGCACACATTTTACTCTCCCATTCTAGGATATCAATAAATATTCTCTAAAATGATTAAAAAATCAACTGGGCATCGGGCACCAGTGGCTCACACCTGGCTTCCTATGTACTCAGGAGGCTGATAACTGAGGATTGAAATTGAAGTCAGGCCAGGTATTAAACTCGATGAGACTCTTATCTCCAGTAAACTACACAGAAAAAGACAGAAGTGGTTGTGTGGCTCAAGTAGTAGAGCACAAAGTACATATTATTGAGCACAAAGAAGCTCTAAGACAGCAGCCAGGCCCTGAATTCGAATTCCAGGTCTAGTAAAAGAACAATGAAAGCATCATTGTTTAGAAAATGAACATTATTTTCCAAAGTAGTTTCTACGATGTCCAATATGGATATCATCAGAAAGTGGTTCGATAACGGGAGTAGTACTGTATACTGTACATATGCATACACAAAGATATACACTATTTGTGTTTTTTTTGTTTTTTTTATTTTATTTGTGAAGATACTGTACAGAGGGGTTACAATTACATGGGCAGGATAATGCGTACATTTCTTACCAAGCATTGCAGTTCCGGGAAGATGGTGGAGGAGAAGCTGGAATCTGAACAAGCTCGCGCATAGAAAGCAGTGTTAGAGTTCCAGTGAACAGTCCTAAGCCAGAGAAACACACCAAGTGTGCCATCACAGGACAGAGAGTTAGACAAGAGAGGGAAGCCAAGGCAAAAAGATACATCTGAGTGCTCGCCAGCAGCCGCCGCAGCGGCTGCGGCAGGGTCGCAAGCACCGGAGAATGCAGCCAGGGCCATACCTGAGCGCTCACACAGAGAGTCCGGGACGAAGGAGCCAGACGCAGCAGGTGAGAGGATTCTACTCAACACCAGCAAGAACCAACAAGAGCGGACATCTTCATCCTGCAGCTTGCAGACCAGAGACGACCCAGGATCCAAGACTTGGCGTGAGTAGAAGCCCGACATCCTCACTCCTTCTCAGGGAGCAGAGGAGGGAAGGCCACCCCTCCCCCCCCCCAGCACTGGTGATCTCCATCTTGGATACCGACACAGCTCGGAGGAGCTGCCAGCTCCAACCCAGGCCTTGGAATAAAACGAGTCATTTAGCAGGTCACAAGAACTTAATGGCGAAGTGACCTGCCAGACTTGGCTCCATCCAGGGAAAAGTCACCCAGCTCAGGCGCCAGCCATTGGAGTGGCTTTCCTCACTGGGTAAACAGAGCCAGAGGCTGCCCCTCCCTCTAGCAGCCTCAACAATCAATTGAAAAACAGAATCCCTGAGAATGGCTCCAGGCTGGGCTCTGTGAGATTTTTTTTGCACAAAACTGCCCCAGGAAAAAGCTACTGATTGTTGAAAGGCCTCAACTCTACCCAGAACCTAGCCTCACCACTGTTTTTTTTGTTTTTGAGTCTGGTCGTGGGTCTGAACTCTGGCCCTAGGCGCTGTCCCTCAGCTCTTCAGCTCAAGGCTAGCACTCTACCATTTGAGCCACAGCACCACTTCTGGCTTTTTTGTTCTGCTTATGTGGTGCTGAGGAATAGAAAACCCAGGGCCTCATGCATGCAAGGCAAGTGCTCTACTCTGAGCCACATTCTCAGCCCATACACTATTTATATAATGCTTAAATAATAATTATTTGAAAATAAAAATAATGTTTATTGTTGTTTTTCTTTGAGGACTATCATTTCTTCTTCTGCATTTTTATAAGTTTACATGTATTATACAAAAGTATTTAATGCTGATACTTCCATAGATGCATACAAAGATTTTCATTTTTATTATTAAATAGCTGTACAATTAAATAGCTGTTTCAATTCAGCAAGCCTTTCATGCATTACAATGTGTCTGGACCAAAGTCAATCCCTATAATATACATTCATTCATAGTTTCACTTAATTATGTCCTAGTTTGTGAAATATATTCTTCTCTTCATATCAACTACAGAAAAAACTAAACTCCTTTTTAAAAGGCACATTATTTACTTAGTATCCATAAACTAATAAAATTTGAAAGTCGTTTTATTTTAAAATTATCTCTTTTATCAACAAAAATATTTCTGATTTTGAACAAAATGGGGCTATTTTATTAACATCTTAAAAGTCATACTTAGAACAATTTATGTTGACTAGCCCATGAATTATCATTCATATTTGTGGAGATTTGTGAAATCTGGAGATATAAGTGAAGATAATAGTGTCCTCAAAATGTACTTTTAATGTCAACATTTTATTCCCTTTATTTTAAAATGTTTTATTATTACAATATATCATTCCTAGGATAATATACTTCTTACATATTAAATAAAGTTATACTAAATAAAGGTATTTTACTTCAATATATAAACTATATTAAATGTACATTAATAGTCTTTTTTTGTGTTTTTCTTAACAAGAAACGAACCGCTATGCCTTGATTAACTCATTATAAGGCTACTAAGCAGGAGGAGGATGTGTGTACATGCTAAAGTCTTAATACTCCATGGAATATGAATTTTTTTTACTTCAAATCTTGTTAAGATTCACTATCACAATTTATTTAGCATTGACTTTCTATGATCAAGGTGTCTCTTTCTTCCTGTTTCGCCATTTCTTTTTTTTTATTATTATTGTGAAAATACTGTACAGAGGGGTTACAATTACATGGGCAAGATAGTGAGTACATTTCTTATCAAGCATTGTAGCCTCCTCCTTTGTTTACCCTTCCCATCCCTTCCCAGCCTTCCCCCGCCTCCCCCACCAAATCTCCCCCCCCCACACCAAAGTTGTAAAGTTCATTTTCAACATGACTTCTCATTGTTGCAACGGGTCCACCTGTATCCTTATTTAAACGACTTGTTTTTCCCCTTCCCCTCCACAAATTGCACCGACATCAAATACAGTGAAAGCAGGAGTTATACTATGGGGGAATGACATACAAAGCAACAAAGAAATAATCTTATAAATGCTTTAGAAACAATCGCATGAAAGAAAAAAAACATTTAAATACATATCTTAGGATTCATTTTCCTAACATCACCTTATCTGACCTTTTCTGCTTGACTCATATATATACTAGATATTGCAAATAAGGGAAACCATGGGAATTATGTTTCTTTGGGTTTGGCTTACTTCACTTAATATAATTTTTTCCAAGTCTTTCCATTTCCTCACAAATGGGGCAATGCCATTCTTTCTGATGGAGGAATATAATTCCATTGTGTATATATACCACATTTTCTTGATCCATTCATCTACTAAGGGGCATCTGGGTTGGTTCCATATCTTAGTTATGGTAAATAATGCTGCAATAAACATAGTTGTGCTGGTAGCTTTAGTGTGGTCTTGTTTATAAGCATTTGGGTAAATGCCCTGTAGAACGTAAAAAAAAAAAAATCATGTAAAGACAGCACCTAACAGCTATTTTTGCTTCTGTATGAATTGCTTTGTGCTAGATGATTGTATGGTTTTTGTATGATTTTTAATTGTGACTGGTTTTAGTTACTTAGTTGTGGGATGTCAGCCTGGGAGCCTATAGTTGCTTAGTAAAAGACTTCAAAGGGTTTACAGTCCTCAGAATCATCCCCAAAGCTGCAACACCCTTCCCAGAGGCTGGGGCAGTAAGGCCCTACGAAAGAAATATAATGTTTTAAGAAACCTAAGCAACTCCATTTTTGTTTAACACTCCATCTCAGTTCTGCGACTTGAGTCGTGATCCACTTTAGCCCCAATGCTAGGAATTTATGACAGAAAGCCATGCACAATTCTTGGAGCCATAGATGGCGTTTGCTTAAGGCAGGTGTTAGCCCCCAAGTGGTGTTGCCCCCCAGCCACCGAGGACTGAGAGTTTCTAACCAACCCATTCTTCAGAGCCCGGGGCGAGACATGCCATGCATTCTGTTGGTCTGGGTGTGACTCGTAACCTTTTTCGGTCAAGCTATGGACCAAGGACATTTTTCTGTAAAGGTCAACCAATCATTATTTGCCCAGTTTAGCTTGCTTTAAATGTAAATGTTAACCAATCATGTAATTTCTTATGTAAAAGTTGCTTAAAGTTGTTTGTTCAATACTATAAAAACGGCTCTGATTCTATGCTCAGGGCCTCTTAGCGTCACCAGTTACGGTGTGCAAGGAGGACCAAGCTCGAGCTTGCAATAAACCAGCTCTTTGTTGCTTACATTGATCGTGGTCTCTGGTGGTCTTCTGGGGGTCCCCGAATTTTGGTATAGCAGCCCAAAAGTGGGATTGCTGGGTCATAAGGGACCTCCATGTGGAGTCTTTTGAGGAACCTCCATACTGCTTTCCAAAGTGGTTGAACAAGTTTACACTCCCACCAACAATGAGTAACATTACTTCATTGAACCTTACTTCACCATTTCTTATTATGTCTCACCAGCTAAAGTGAAGGAAGAGATTGACCTTGTGATTGGCAGGCACCGCAGCCCCTGCATGCAGGACAGGAGCCAAATGCCCTACACAGATGCTGTTATGCATGAGATCCAGAGATACATTGATCTCCTACCAATGAACGTGCCCCATGCAGTGACCCATGACATTAAGTTCAGAGACTACATAATTCCCAAGGTGAGCTTGTTTCTTTTCTACTGAGCATCCATAGGGAGCCTGAGTTCTTGATGTCACTGCAGGATTCCTCTCCTCCACATGAGAGAGCTGCAAAAGTCTCACAGTTGGCAGCACAGAAGAGGTTGTGGTGTAGCAAGTTTGGGGTTGTATATCCATGCAAATTTATCCCTGGTATCCCACACTGTGAATCCCAATTTTGTTATGCCCCTTAAATTAATTTTGTTTTAGAGACTTCTCCTTGTTCTTGTTGTCTTTGTTTTTCTTCTAATTCCTTCTCCTCCTGCTCCTCCTGCTGTTCCTCCTACTGTTCCTCCTCTTCCTCCTGCTGTTTCTCCTCCTCCTCTTCCTACTCCTTCTATTCCTCTTTCTTCTCCTTCTCTTCCTCCTTGAACTTTTGGCTATGCTTAGTTTTTGTATTACCAAATGAGTACAAAAACTTACTATTTATCAATTTCCCAATATGTTGTGCTGGGATATAAATTATGCCTCCAGTTAAGTTATAGATAAATTTGGGAGAAAATGTTACCTTGATTTCCTCAATTCATGAATGAGTCATGCTTCCAATTTACCTATGCCTTACTTTATTTTCCAAGTAATATTTTGTTTTCAATAGAGTCGATTACAAATATATTCATAGACTTTGTTTAAATGCATAGCGCTTTGCCTATTACTATTTTAGTTTTTCATTGGCTTTCGTGCTTGTTGGCCTGTGCACTGTCTGTGATCTCATTTGCTCAATGCTAGTGCTCTACCAGTTTGCACCACAGTTCCACTTCCAGTTTTCTGGTGGTTAACTGGAGATAAGAGACTCATGGACTTTGTTGCCTGGGCTGGCTTTGAACCATGATGCTTAGATCTCAGCCTCCTGAGCAGCTAAGATGACAAACAAGAGCCACCAGTGCCTGGCTTGATTGTTATTATTTTTATGATGCCTTTGCTATCATTTGTACCTGATATATAGAAACATAATTGCTTTAATCATTCTGATGACCTCATGAAATGTAGACTCATGAAATTTGGTAGTCATTGCTAATGAATTCTCTGTACATTTGTTTGGAAGTTTACAGTGTATTACCATAATATCTGGTTTAATAGATTCTACTTGCTTTTCTGATTTTTGTGCCTATAATTGTGCTTTGTTGAATTTTTGTACTGGCAGCCAGGATGGTGTAAACAAAATGGATTTTAGTGGTCATCTTTGTTTCATTATGATTTTCAGAAATGATTTCTAGTTTGGTATTTCACAGTTAATTCTGGTATCTTAAGTATATTTGTTTTTTTTAAATAACATTAGGGAAGTTTACCCTGTGTTCTTATGTATGTATGAATTTCGAACATAAACATGGTAATATTTGAATCAGATCTATTCTCTGTAAGGATTCTTCTTCTTTGAAAAGTTTTAATTATACAGGTGATGTGCAGAGGGGTTACAGTTACATAATTCAGGTAGAGCAGTTTCTTCTTGGACACTGCCACCCCTTCGTTGGCTCTCTCCCAGTTTTTCCTTCCCACCCCATCCACAAGTTGTATAGTTCTGTTGAGTGCCACTACTGCATTTGTTCACCCTTTGTCCCTCCATTTCTGTGCCCCTCCTTACACTCCCAAAGAAAGATAAATGAACAAACAGAACAAAGAGGAAGAAAAAAAAAATCAGCAAGATGGGTAGTTGTTGACCTTCTATTGCTTTATGCCCTTCTTGCTTTTAAGGATTCTGCTGTTGAGAAATCTGGTATTATGCTGATTGCTTTGCCGCCATAGATGACTCATTGCTTTTCTTTGGCAGCTGTCAGTACTGTTTACTGTTTCTGAATATTTTTTTTTTGGGTCCGGTCGTGGGGCCTGAACTCTGGGCCTGGGCGCTGTCCCTCAGCTCTTCAGCTCAAGGCTAGTGTTCTACTACTTGAGCCACAGCGCCACTTCCGGCTTTTTTCTTATGTGGTGCTGAGGAATGGAACCCAGGGCCTCATGAATTACAAGGCAAGCGCTCTACCACTGAGCCACCTTCCCAGCCCCTATTTCTGAATATTTAATGTTTAACTATAATGTGTCTTGGAGTGATTCTTTTTGGATATGATCTGTTTGCTGTTCTAAAACCTCGTGTACCTGGATTGTAAAGATTTAGGAAATATTCTCACATCATTTTATTGACTATGTTTTGTATTGTTTTAGCTTGGGCCTTTTCTTCAGCCTGTATGTCTATGTTTATATGTTTGACCTTTCAAGTTCCCGAAGTGGGATTGTATAATCTTTTCATACTTTTCACCTAGTTCTTCACCTGACTAATCTATCTACTTTTTCTTTGATCCCTGATATTCTGTTTCAATTTGATTCACTCTTTTCTATTGAGTTCTTTTTATTCATATAGCTTTTCATTTTCAAAATTTTAGTTTAACTATTTTTTAATATTTCTGTATCTTTATTGAACTCCTCATTTATATATATTGCATTGTTTGTCTTACTTTATTTACCTATTTATTTGTATCCATTTCAAATTTACTCATATTTTATACTTGTTCTTTTATTGTATTGAAATCATATTGTTGAAATGATTTTAATTTTAATTTTTATTGTGACAATACTGTACAGAGGAGTTACAATTACATGGGCAAGATAATGTGTACATTTCTTATCAAGCATTGTACCCTCTTCCTTTGTTTCCCCTTCCCATCCCAACCCATCCTCCCTCCACCTCCCCACCAAGTTCTCCCCCCCCCTCTAAAGTGGTAAATTTTCTTTTTCCACATAAAGACTTGTACATCTCATTGTTGAAATGGATCTACCTGTATCCCTATTTAAACAATTTGTTTTTTCCCTTCCCCTCCACAAATTATACCAACCTCACATACAGAGAAAGAAGGGGTTATACCATGGGGGGAGTAACATACAAAGCAACACAGTAATAATCTTATAAATATGTTAAAAACAATCACCTGAGAGAAAAAAAAAATTGAATACATTTCCCTCACATCAACTTATCAGACCTTTTCTGCTTGACTCAGACATATACTAGTTATTGCAAATAAGGGAAACCATGGGACCTAAGTTTTTTGGGGCCTGGCTTACTTCACTTAATATAATTTTTTACAAGTCTTTCCATTTCCTAACAAATGGGGCAATTTCATTCTTTCTGATGGAGACATTTTCTTGATCCATTCATCTACTGAGAGGCATCTGGGTTGGTTCCATATCTTAGCTATGGTAAATAAGGCTGCAGTAAACATAGTGATGCTGGTAGCTTTAGTGTGGCCTTGTTTGTGAACATTTAGGTAAATGCCCAAAAGTGGGATGGCTGGGTCATAGGAGAGTTCTATGTGGAGTCTTTTGAGGAACCTCCATACTACTTTCCAAAGTGGTTGAACAAGTTTACACTCCCACCAACAGTGCAGTAAGGTTCCCTTCTGTCCATATCTCTCCAGCATCTGTTGTTATTAGAGTTCATGGGTGAGCTGGTATCTCAATGTTGTTTGGATTTGCATTTCTTTTATGGCTAGAGAGGTTGAGCATTTCTTCATGTGTCTATTGGCCATCCTTCTTTCCTCTTCACAGAAGTTTCCTTTAAGTCTTTAGCCCACTAATTTATTGGGCAGTTGTTTCTTGGAAGATTTGTTGTTGGCGGATTTAAGTTTTTGAGTTCCAGGTATATTTTAGGTATGAGACCCTTGTCCATTGTAAGGCTAGTGAACATCTTCTCCCAATCCTGGGCTTTCTATTAATCTTGCTAGCTATGTCCTTTGGCATACAGAAGCTCTGCAATTTCATGCAACCCTAGTTGTCCAACCTTTCTTTGATTTGTTGTGTTTCTGGGTCTCTATTAAGAAAATTTTGGCCTGTGCCAAGGAGTCCTAGGGTGTCTCCTATTCCATCCTGTAATGTTTTCAGGGTGTCTGCTTTGACTTCAACTTCTTTTATCCATTTGGAGTTGATTCTGCTGCAGGGTGATATATAAGGATCTAGCTTTAGTTTTCTACGTCTAGTTAACCAATTTTGCCAGCACCATTTACTGAAGGGGCTGTCTTTCTTCCATTCTACTTTTTTAGCTCCCTTTTTGAAAATTAGATGGCTATAGGTCTGTAGGTTCATTTCTGGGTTTTCAATTCTATTCCATTGGTCCTGAGATCTGTTCTTGTGCCAATACCAAGCTGATTTGATTACTATGGCTTTGTAGTAGAGTTTGAAATTTGGTATTGATATTCCTCCAGCACTGTTCTTTCCGTTGATGATTGTTTTTGCAATTCCAGGTCTTTTATTGTTCCTTATGAATTTTTGGATTACCTCTTCTATTTCCTTGAGGAATGAGGATGGATTATTGACAGGTATCACATTGAATTTGTAGATAGCCTTGGGAAGTATTGCCATTTTCATGATGTTAATCTTTCCAATCCAGGAGCATAGGAGTTTTTGCCACTTGAAATAATTTTTCTTTCAATAATACATTTGAGTTCTTTGGGCTTTAATCTTCTTCAATATCCTTTATGTCTATTGCTATAGAATTGTTAAACTTTGGAGATACTTGCCTTTTTTCCATACATTCTGTGTTAATATTTTTTGGTTCTGAAACCAATTCATTTGTTGGAAGTCTTCATTACCTATAGACCAGAAGATTGAACTAAGTGATTCTCATTGTATCTGTCACCGTTTTAACTATTTGTGTTCTGTTTTTTTTTTTGTCCAGGGTCATTGCGGGGTGGTCATGGGGCTTGAACTCAGAGCCTGAGCACTGTTCCTGACCTTTTTTGTTCAAGTGGTTTACCACTCTGAGCTACATTGGCAAATTGGAGATAACAGCATCAAGGGCTTTCCTTCCTGAACTGTCTTTGAACTGTAGTCCTCAAATCTCAGCCTCCTGAGTATTTGGATGATAGGTGTGAGCCTCTAATTACATATATATGCATATATGTATACTTTATATATATGCATATGTTTATATAGATCTAGGTATATATATGTATCAATCTATGTAGATCTATATCTATATCTATCTATCTATCTATCTATCTATCTGTCTGTCTGTCTGTCTGTCTGTCTGTCTATCTATCTATCTATCTATCTATCTATCTATCTACCTATCTAATTAGCTTATGTTATCTGTGTGTATTGTTCCCAGGGCACAACCATATTGACATCACTGACATCTGTGCTGCATGACCCCAAGGAATTCCCCAATCCTGACAAGTTTGACCCTGGCCACTTTTTGGATGAAAGTGGTAACTTTAAGAAAAGTAGAATAAACATTAAAGGCTAGTGTTCACATCTTTATTTTGGTGTTAGTTTGAACAAAAAATAAAATCAAAGTATTCTTGTCAATTGATCTTTGCAACTGAAAGCCAGATATTGATAATCATTTGCTCTATTATTTTTATTTATGCGCATCAATTGTACATTTTAAGATGTTTCATAGCTACATACTATTTAGTTTGAACATACCAGTTTTCCTTCACTTTTGGCAGTACTAAGATTTAAATTCAGGGCTTTGTTCTTCTTACACAAGAACTCTACTGATTGGACCATTTCCAACACCTATTTTTTCTACTTTGTACACATTGTTTTACACTCAACCTAAATGTGATGTCAATTATAATAAGGGCACTGAAATCACTCCTCCCATTTCATTCTTCAAACTTTCACAATTGTGCATTAACACACAATTTTCCCTTCCTTCTACCTTGCCATGTATCACATGAGAATTACCGTCATTCATTATCTGTGGTGGACTCTTTCCTAAAAGGAAGCCCCTTGATCCAGGATTTTATTTTAAATTTTATTTTATTGTAAAGCTTCTTACAGAGAGGTTACTGTTACATGAGAAAGGTAATGAGACAAGAGCAATGTTCTTGTCAAACATTGTTAACCCATTCTTTGATATTTTCCTACTATTCCTTCTCTCTCCCACCTCACCCAATCCTCCCTTCCACAGAAGTTGTAAAGTTCATTTCCAACAGTGTCTTGTGAGAGTCATTGTTGCTGTGGGTTACCCTGTGTCCTCGTTTCAGCATCTTATCATTTCCCATTCCCTCCCAAAATTATAAAAAAGTATATACAAGATGCAGGGAACAAAAATCAAATACACTGGCAACAGGGGATATATCATAGGGGGAAGAATATACCAAAAAAACAAAAAAATTACAGGTGGACCCATTGCAACAATGAGATGTACAAGTCATTCTGTCAAAAAACGAACTTTACAACTTGGTGGGGGGAGGAGGATCAGGTGTGGGAAGGTGGGGGCAGTATAGGGAGGAAGGGGAAGGGGAAACAAAGAGAGGCAACAATGCTTGAGAAGAAATGTGCGCCTTATCTTGCCCATGTAATTGTAACTCATCTGTATGGTATTTTCACAATTAAAAAAAATATATATGAATTTTAAAAACACAAAAAGAGAAATGTACTCATTACCTTGCTAATGTAATTGTAAAGAAAAGAAAAAACAAAAACAAAAACACCAACAACAAAAAAAAACCTCTTGTGCCCATTTCTTGGGGTTCATTTGGCTTAGCATCATCTTATATGGTCATATGTACATAGCAATTATTAACCTCATATATTTTTGGCTAGATGCATACACAATCTGTACATGTATCAGTGGATTGTTATGCCTGTTTATATATACAAGATGTATTTATACAGGACATAAGCATACATTATATATGGTTTTCCATAAAATTGGCTCACTATAAGAGTATATTGGACAGGTACTGGTAGTTCACGCCTGTAATCCTAGCTACTCCGGAGGCTGAGATCAGAGGATTGGGGTTCCAAGCCAGCCCAGGCAGGAAAGTCCATGAGAATCTTACCTTCAATTAATCATGAAAATACCAGAAGTGGTGTTGTGGCTCAACTGATAAAGCAATATCCTTGAGCAAAAAGCTCAGGGACTGTGCCCAGGTCCCACATTCATCCCCAAGACCTGGTACTCAGCCCGTAAAAAAGCATTTTGTACAACTTGCTTGTTTTCCTGTTGAAAAATATGCCAGTCAAACTTTCAAGATATGGAAAAATTGGATATGATTGTTTGATATGTATGTATCATTTGTGTGTGTGTGTGTGTGTGTGTGTGTGTGTGTGTGTGTGTGTGTGAGTGTGAGTGTGCTGATGGGCAGGGCCTGGGTAGTAACACTGAGCTTTCTTGTTCAAGACTAGCACTCTACGACTTGAGCCATAGCTTCACTTGTGGCTTTTTTGGTGGAAGATAAGCTTCCAAACTACCAAGGTTATCTAAGGGTCCAAACCAGGCCCAGGGCCACCTGCACTTCCCCCCTTCTCTTCCCATAAGAAAGCCCAAAGTATAAAGTTGGAACCATGACACAGAAAAACTGAAGCCTGCTCCTTAGGCATGATGCAGAGATGTACCACCCAAACAGTACACCAGACTTCATATAGTAAGGGAGCCAGAGGAGCAGGCCCTGAATTTAAACTTTAGTACTGTGAAAAATGAAGAGAAAAAATGACATGGTCAATGTATATTGTACACATGTAGGAAGCACCTCAAATTGTACAATTGATGTACGCCAATAAATGTACTAGAACAGGTGATTAGTAATATAAAAACATAAACTCATATCTGGCTTTCAGTTGGAAACATCTGTTGATAACAATATTTGCAGTTTTTATTTTGTATTCATTCTAAGGCTGAAGAAAAGACACGAACCCTAGTTTTTAATGTTTATTCCTGTCTATGTCTGTGTCACAGAGTATTTTCCTCCAGGAGGAACTGCTTCTGGTCATTGCTTTTGTTTATTGAATCCACATCTCCAGATATGACAGGTGACATAACCAAGGAGTTTTCCTACCATCTTCCCCTTCCCATTCCCAGTGCTTGCCGTAATGTGGACAACATGGCACTCTATTTTGTTTCATGCTTCACTGAATTTTAAACAAAGTAAGAGAGTCCAAGAATGACTCATGCATGAAAAATAATATTTATTATGGATAATATAGAGAGAAAGGAGTCTGAGTTGTCACATGGTAATCATTTTTTTGTTTTGTCATACTAGCATATTAGTAAATCAGCATTAGAGAAGTGTTAGCATGTGGGGTGTTGAATAAGACTATTATAAAGCACAGGGGACTATAGATGTGACAGTGCAGTGACACAGGAAAACATCCAAAATGGAGAATGGATCTTCCAAGATGTGGAGGGAGAAGGAAGATGTGAGAAGGGAGGACAGGAAAGCATTCCTGGCAGGGGAAGTTAGTGAGTGATGGCTCAGAGGAGGGAACTGCAGATTGCTGCACAGCTGGAGCCAGACAGCAGAGCTCTTCTTTACACTGGAATGAAGGGCAGCTGGTATGATGGTGGCAAGCAGATAAACCAATTTAGAACAGGAGTGGTATTGAGGTCCTGTGGATCCATGAGAGATTTCAGCTTGAAATTCTGTAGAATGGTTGTCAGGAATAAAAACAGCTCCATCCTGGACAGGCCTTCTCCAACACAAATCCTTTTGCCTGAAATTTTTTGTAAAAAAAAAATTCAAAGGTAGAAATGACTCTTTGTATGTAAGTGTGAAAGTATGAAGCATTGTATTTGTAACTGACAGAAGATGTGTCAATATTTTGTTGAAAGATTACTGAATTCATGACCGATGGATACACGGAGGGACACAGGTAAGACAATTTGTCTACTAACATGTAATCTTAACTTGTACATCATTGAACCATTTTTTTTAATCTGAGAATAGCAGTACACACCTGTAATTCCACCACAGGAAACTAAGACAGAAGAATCTTGAGTTGATGAAACATTTGAGCTTCATTTTTAACATGCTGTCTTTAAAACAATCAAAGGCAAACTACACCAAACTAAATTATATTTAGAAGAAATACAGATCACGAGCTTCTTATTAAAATCTTATTAAGTAGTTCTACATGATACATTCTCTTTTTAAAAATTTCCCTTCTGTCTTTCTCCCTTTCCTCATTCTTTGTGTATATAAAAACATAAACTCATATCTGGCTTTCAGTTGGAAACATCAATTGACAAGAATATTTCTGATTTTTTTTTGTGTTCACACTAATGCCAAAGTAAAGACACAAACCCTGGCCTTTAATGTTTATTGCTGTCTATGTTTGTGTCACAGAGTATTTTCCTCCAGGAGGAGCTGCTTCTGGACATTGCTTTTGTTCACTAAATCCACATCTCCAGACATGACAGGTGACATAGCTAAGGAGTTTTCCTACCATCTTCCCCTTCCCATTCCCAGTGCTTCCCGTAATGTAGACAACATGAGACTCTATTTTGTTTCATTGCTTCACTGAATTGTAAACAAAGGAGGACAGTCCAAGAATTACCCAGGTATGAAAAATAATACTTGTTATGGATAATATGCAGAGAAATGAGGGACAAAGGGTGAGCAAATGCAGCAGTGGAATTCAAGAGACACTATGTTGAAAATGAACTGTACAACTTTTGGGTGGGGATGGAAGGGAAAAACTGGGAAGGGAAAAAAAGCGAGGGAAGGAGTGACAGTGTTTAAGAAGAAATGTACTCTACCTGACTTATGCAACTGTAACCTCTCTGCACATCGCTCTTCTAATAAATATTTGAAAAAGGAGAATCATTACAGAGAAATTACCCATTCAAAACATAAATGTAATTATGTCAAAACTCATACATAAATAAAAATATAGGGTAAACTTCCCTAATGTTATATTTTTAAAAATCTTCTGAAATCTATTTAGGATATGAAACTTGACAGTGTAATACCAAGCTTGAACATTTTTTGCCAATCACAAATGAAACAAAGATGACCACCAACACCAGTTTTGTTTTACACCATCCTGGCTGCCAGTGCAAAAATTGAGCAAAGCAAAATTATGGACACAAGAATTGGAAAAGCCCACAAAAAATATTAACTCAGATATTATGGTAATGCATCTGAAAGCTCCAAATATATCTATAAATAAATCATTAGCATTGAGTAATAAATCTCCTGAGCTTACATATTATAAGGTCACCAGGTGGTTAAAGGAATTATGTTTCTTTATATCATGTAGAAAGTATTGCAAAGCCACCATAAAAATATGAAGAATCAAAAGGGGCAGTGGTTTCTCACATCTGTAATTCTAGCTGCTTAGGAGACTGAGTTCTGAGGATCGTGGTTACAAGCCAGCCAGGTAGAAAAGTCCATGAGCCCCTTATCTGCAGTTAACTACCAGAAAGTTGGATGTGGTGCTTTGGCTCAAAGTGGTAGAGCACCAGGCTTTA